TATTTTTTCCATGGGTCAGTGCTTTTATGCTGGTCGGCTTAAGGTTGAACATATATGCATGCACCTGGCGGTAGGTAGCTTTTTTACATAGTTAGTTATGGTTAAAAACAGATTGTTGAATTTGACATCTAAGTGTATTATTGTACTTATTATTGTACTTATTAACTTTGAAATTTTCATTTTGATACATTATAGAGCTTGTTCAAAGAGGTATGTTTTTATTATTTTGTACTCTCCTAACACTCTACTAATAAATTAAGCATCTCAGTAGAGTAATATTATCTGTAAACTTTCGTAATATACTATACTACTATCGAGACTACTATTCTGTATAGATTTACTTATATGTATAGAACATATACATGGAACACTCTGTATATTTATAAATCATATGATCTGTCTTGCTATGAGCTTTTTAAAAATATATATCACTCTATATTTATATTCGCTATTTACTACAATATTTAAAAGATGTCATTTTCTTATTAGCAGGCCGTGATAGATAACCAAAAATCAAAATGGTATTTACTAAAATAGTCATACACATATTAAAATTTTATTTGGGATTCAAATATTTTACTTTAGAATTGAACCTAAGTTTAGAATTGTTACCACTGAATCTCTGAGTTGCCACGATATAATATTTGATATTTCAAAAATCTCCAAATACAGAAATTAAGAACGGACAAATCCGAGAATCAGGAAGGCTATCATATGGGTCCATTGGTTCCAATTCATTGATTTGGGAAATAGTAGGTAATTTAACAAAATTCTAATATTTTCAAAGTTGTGAAATGGAGCCCCATCTCTTGCTGAAAGTATATTTCACGTAAATAAGCTAAAGGAATATCTAGAAGTCCCGGTACGATAGCTTCCATGATTTACAAATAGCGGTAGAGAGTAAAGTTTCCCTTATACATTATATAAAGAATTTATTAGTGGCTCTCAAATAAAAGAAGAGACAGATAGCAGTATACTTTTAATAATTCTTTAGTTTCAGGTTCATAAAGCTGGATAAAGTTACAGGGTGTTAAAACATAACCTTAGTTCATATCTGTAAAATTATTATTTTCGTAGAATAACAAACCCTGACTACTGTGGTATCTAATTTTTATTAATTATTGTGTAAATTCATTAAAAAATAGATTTTTTTAAAAATTCGCCTAAGATCAAGTATGCCTTGGAAATCCATTTGACACTTTATATGTCAGCTAGTTATTTTTGTTTATTCTATTAAGTGTCAAATCTGGAGGCACAAAAATTGTATAGAAGAGTTCAATACAGGTCAATACAACGAACCTAAAATGTTATTGTCAAGAATGCCAGCCCAGACGTTTAGAATAGAATATCTTATTTGTGGTCTGGTGTCCGGTTTCCCTAATTAAATAAGGATTTTCTTTTGCATAATAATCTAATTTTTTTTTTCTATTAAATGTACCAGAATTTGTAAATAAAGATTCACGCCTCCATAATATTTCTTTTAGAAAAAAGGGCTCTCTTGAACACTTTCCCGAAACCATTTGCAAAACTGTAAACTTCTCTCGTGATCACCAGCATGTAAAAAAAATGGTACACATTTAAATATAAAGTTGTAATATTTATGTTTTTCTGATAATTTTCCTTAAATAAGAATCACTTGTACAACACTCGCGACTTATTTTACGGCTGGAAGTTTCCGGATTTTTTTTAGATTCTGAGTTGGCACATTAATATGAAGCCTACAAGTCTTTTAAAATATTGCCCTTTTGTTTTTTAAAGCTACTAGCAACTGCGAAATTTCTTGAAATCCTTGCGAAAATAGTACAATAAGGCTGTGTCGTCTCAGGATAGGTTCTATAACTTGCGCAAGATGCTATATCGGAATTTCTATTACTTTTTAAGTAAACATCATACATATCTCGTGTTTCCGCACTTGTGAACATATATTGTTGACTGTTACACTTTATACTATCTTTATTCACTTTACACTATCTACTATAAATGTTTGTGTCCAGATTTGACATTTAATAGAGTAAACCTCTGGAGTAAACAAAAATTAACATGCTGTCATATAAATTGTCAATTGGATTTCCAAGGTAGACTGGATCTATTGAGCGAATTTTTAAAAATCTATTTTTTTTAGTGAATTTACACAATAATGAATAAAAGTTAGATACCAACGTATAGATACTTTTTGCTCTATATATATTTTTTGCTCTATCTAATAGTATAAAAATTCAAAATCGCGGCCATAAGAAAACAAAAACTTGACTGTTGTGCGAAATCTAGAAGGCTTAGAAATGTTTTGAAAACGGCATTTAATTGGCCGAGGCCAAAAATATAAAACTACCAACTTACGTTGCAATAGATACAATAGTTCTGAAGATATTGTCATTTACTTATTATATTAATTTTTTGACTTAAATCCGAAACTAATCAAGATACCGGGGTTTTCTTTATAGGTGTTTGTCAAACTTCTAATTACGCAAGTTTTGTCCCATTTAACCGAATTCGTATCTCTCGCAGTTTCTGAGATGCCAATATTGAATATCGAAATTATCACCACCCTATATATTTGGTCATTATCTATCTATTGCAATCGTCAAAATTTAGACTTACAGCAAAATAACGAAGATACAGATTAAAAAACAGTATCTTCAATGTGATCAGTATAACAAAGCAACTTTTACTCTTAGTTTCTCACAATAATATTTTTATCATATTATACAGAGTAACGCACCTCATTCGCCTCGGTTGATTATACGAAAACGGAAAGATGTAGAAACAAAATATTTCATGGGTATATATGGGGAGACCATGTGCACAATTTAAAATTATTTCAAAATTTACAGGGTGTTTAAGAACTAAGATCCATACCAAAGTTATATTTTTTCTTATGGAACACTCGGTATTTTATTTAATTTTTGGATTCGTGGGTCCAGAAAATGGCATTTATTATAAGGATTAAATATGTTTAAAATCTTTGGTTTTTGAGATATTTAAAGATAATTAAATTTGCATGCTACAATAGAATAGATTATTAACACCCTGTACATTACTTTTCAGAATTAATTCTTGTGCTGAGTTTAATGGTAAAGAAATAAACTTTACTGGAAAATGTTATTGATTTCTTAAATTTATACAGGGGTATAAAAATTACTGATTTAATTTAAGAATTTATTTTACATAAAAACTTCGTTATTTCAAATACAACACCCTGTATTTTTTATAAAAAATCGAAGCAGATTTAAATGCTCTTTCAAACTGTATTAGGGTTTCCTATACCTATCTAGCTTAGATTTTGAATAAAGAACAATTTTTCAATAAAATGACAACCAAGAGGGCTAGTGTCGTGATGGCAGGTTTTTTATTGACAGTTAGTAGCTGTTTTCAAAATCGATATTAGTTTATGGAATTATTTAAATTTATACCAGTTTTCTTTTATTTAATTTACCTACAATAGTTTAATAAATAATATTTATTAAATATGTATTTATTATTCTATTAAGAAAAACGAAGAATTAGTTCTTTGATTTATTTTACGATGACTTGTAGATATATGGATTTTCTATAAAAGAGACAATTACGGCAAATTCATTTTCTTCACTTCCAATATGACAGGTTTCTGCCTAACAGGTTTTTTATAAACCACACTACCTATGCTGTTTCTCTACAGATTCCTATTTCTGGATACCTTTGAGCATAAGTTCTTGAGGCCTAGAAGCAAATTTCCTCAGAAAATAAAGTCACTAGAAACATATCCATTCGTTCCGCCAGCAGATACTGCTTTATTTTTCTTGATAAAATAATCATTACTTATTTATTAAACTATTGTAGGTAAATCTAAGTAAACTGTTATAAATTATAAATAATAATGTCCATAAACTAATGTCGACTTTGAAAATAGTTACTAACTGTCACTAGAAAATTGCCATGGCGACAGCAGCTATCTTGTTTACAATTTTATTTAAAAATCGCTTTTTATTCAAAATCTGAACTAGATAGGTATAGGAAACCCTAACAAAATTTGAAAGAGCATTTGAATCTGCTTCGGTTTTTTTTTAAAAATACAGAGTGTTGCATTTGAAATAACGAAGTTTTTATATAAAATAAATCCTTAAAATAGATCAACAATTTTTGACACCCCTGTATAAATTTAAGTAAGCAATGTCATTTTTCAGTAAAGTTAATTTCTGTACCTTTAAACTCAGCACAAGAATTAATTCTGAAAAGTAATGTACAGGGTGTTAATAATCCATTCTATAGTAGCATGTAAATTTAAATATCTTTAAATATCTCAAAACCCAAGGATTTTAAACATATTTAACCCTTATAATAAATGCCTTTTTTGTGCCTAAGAATCCAAAAATGAAATAAAATACCGGGTGTTCCATAAGAAAAAAATATAACTTTTGTATAGATCTTATTTCTGAAACACCCTGTATATTTCAAAATAATTTTAAATTATGCACTTTGCCTCCCCGCATACACCCATAAAATATTTTGTTTCTACATCTTTCCCTTTTCGTATAATCAACCGAGGCGAATGAGGTGCGCCACCGAGTGCGCCACCCTGTACTGTGTTTTTCCTTAGGGCAGCCGCATTCTAGTTGAATGGAAAATTTTCTAATATTTAAAATTAGTCCGACAAATGTTAATAACAAAAACGAAAAGTTGTATTACTCCGTATGTTGGGCGAACAGAATAAAGCCCCATAGTCACTATGCGCTAATGCGGTTCGTCAATGCGTCAATTTGATGCGCCAATGTAGGATTTTGGGCGAACCATGAATAGAAATGTAGCAAACACAATGGGCGAATCTCCAAACAAATCGCATCATGCTCACTATGCGTGACATCAGCGCATAGTGAGTATGGGGCGGTAAGGGGTTTAACAAGCGAAGTTGGACAGCTAGGTTTAGGTAATGAATAAACTGTGATAGAACATAGTTGTTACATTATTTACAGTCGTAGATCTTATATAATATATAAAATAATAAGTTACGTTATTGTTACGTAATAATTGTAAATATAATTTTATTATAAATATCCATAATTATACATTAACACATAATATCTATAAAAAATTATTCTAAATCACATAAAGAACCCTTCCGAATATCTTCTTTCTTCTCGGAATATCTTCTGTCACTGTCACCATTTATTAAAGGGTTTTCTTCAATGGTATCCACTGTAGGTATATTAATATTTACATTATTGACATCGACATCCCTACATAATTGTAATTTGCTTGTGTCCATTATAGTGCTTAATGTTTTTGTAACTTTGTCGTTTAAATTGAACAATATAAGTTGTATTTGCTTCTTACTATACGTTTTAACCAGCAGTTCTACACTCTAAAAAATAGTTTTAGAATTATTATTTAAAAAACGGTGAAAACGTTGATTACATAATATACTCGAGCCTATTTACCTTTGCTGCTGAGTAGTCAATTTCTAATATTCCTGAACAATCGAGAACAATCGGCAAGTATGGGCTTTTATTATGAGCTTTCTTGATAATTTCCGATAAATAATCAGCAGCTGGATAAAATAAACCAACTTCCGGTTTGACGTAGATGTAATTTAATTTTTGCTCATTCTAAAATGAAAATAAAAACATTCTTATTATGCAACGCCTTAAATGTCAATTAACGAGTTTAGCAATAAGAGTGAGTCTTAATCAAGTTCAAATATCTTTAGGCTAGATACCAAACTGACCTGAAACCAACAGTTGGAAAATATCACAAGGAGGGTGGTGACTACACTAGCGGTAGTCAGACGACTTCATGGAAAAATCTGGGGCCTCTGACCACAAATGGTGCACTGGCTGTACACTGGGGTAGTGAGGCCTTCAGTAACATATGCATCCTTGGTATGGTGGCCTAAGGTGCACAAACAACAATGCTCAGCCTCAGCAAGGTGCAAAAACTTGCTTGTGCTGCAAACAGGACACTTAAAGATGGGGGATTCTATCGGGGGACCTTAACTCCAAATGAGATCTTGGTCAGATCTCATTTGGAGTTAATGACCCCTCTTTATCACTACCACAAACAATTCGAGGGAAATAAAATGTACCGAGGAATGTAAACAGATACAACATTCTTTCAGGACGGACTAACCTGGTATACAAACGGGTCAAAGACCGTTTAAGGAAGAGGAGTATTTGTAGAAAAACCAATCATCTAGCTTATCATTTTCCTTGGATAAATGGGTCAAGTTTCATTTAGCCGAAATCTGTCAAAAAATTAAAAAAAATTGTCATTTGGGTACCTCAGGGAGTATATATTACTAAAAAAATTTTGCCGCGGAAATGCGTCATCATTTTTTGAATGCGGTTTAAAAATAACGAAATGACATACATGAAAAATTAATGTTATTTCATATTTTAGACGTCTTTGTAACTACAAGGGTAACTACTAAAGCTTGATTTTCATACATCCGTTATACGTTGATACGATGCCGATGGTCCGACGGTGCTCTGATTGGTCATAACGTTTTCGCGCCACTTTTCAGCCGTAAATATTTTACTTCAGCCCGTCAACCGACCCGTTCATACGATAACGGACGTTTTGACACTTTTTTGACAAATTTAATCTAACCTTAATAATAATATAAGTAAAATAGGAAAATCGTTATGGAAACGAAAATTTAAAAAAAAAAGATAACACCAACGTACATATATCCGATAAACGGAGGCATGAAAATGCAATAAATTTAAAAACTGCGTTATTTTCTAACCAATCAAAGTCTTTAAATTCTACCAATAAAATTAATATCGTATCAACGTATCGTCGGACAACGGATGCATGAAAATCAAGCTTAAAGCCGGAGTCTCATGCATCCGAAATCCGATGACACGACGATCCGACGGTGCTCCTATTGGTCGAAATATTTTGACACCAATTTTTATCCGATATTTTTAACTAATCGTCCGACGTCGTATAAAGTTAAATTTTGTTTAACTTTTGTACGATATCGTGTGTTTTTTAACCTCACTTTTTTTGAAAACATTGGTTTTTAAAATCAAGTTTAGTGGGAAGTGGGCAATTTCGGGATATTTGGCGAGGAAGTTATTTTTATAAGTGTTTCTCCAATAATACATGGAATAATACATAATAATAATACATAGTAATTACAAGTCTAAATGCCAAAACTGTCAAATTTCGGAACGAACTTTCGGATGTATGTGACAGGCTTTTTTTATTTCACACGATAACTTCAAATTTCGGATGTCGTACCATCGGATTTCGGATGCATGAGACTCCGGCTTAATACGAAAATGAAATTCCGCGGAAATGCGCTGTTGCCATTTTTTGAATACGGTTTAGAAGTAACGAAATGAGATATATAAAAAATGAATATTATTTTATATTGTAGACTTATTTTTAAGCACCGATACAAAAATGAAAATCCGCGGAAATACGTTGTTTCACAACTATGCAGTGATCTTCTTCCCGACCTTTGACACAGATCAATGAATAATATCTATTCTTATCAACTTTAATATCGATATGGTCAATAAATGCGGAATTTTAAAAAAAATTGCCAATAAAGCATAAAAACGACAACTAAACCAAACCAAACCCTAAAAAAACAACCAAATCAAACCAAACCAACTAAACCCACTACAACCAAACCAATTACAACCAAACCCAATAAAAACAACCAAACCAAACCAAATAAAACCAAACCGAAAGTGTATAAAAAAGTTGAGAACTATGGAAAACTTCGAAATATTGAAGATTTTCCAATTTTCCATTACACCGCCCTTATGATAAATTTCCGCGAAAAAAGTTATATAGAAATATGTAATTTTTATCTTCCTATCACATTTCAGCACTTCTAAGCCCGAAAAAATCAATGAAAATTATTGCGATAAAAATATATTTTCGAATAAAAATTAGTTCACATCGTTATATTAAATGTTTTTACGTCATTCTAATAATGAAAAAAACTATTAAAAACACCGTAAAGTTTTAAATTTTAGTTAATAATACAAAAATTAAAAATTCGAGTTTTCTCCAAAACAAAGAATTTCCGCAGCAAAAATCAAATTATGTAGTGCTAGTTTTCTTGTATAGAATCATCCTATAAACCGATACTCTATGTTACTGATTTCGGCTAAACAAAACTTGAGCCGGATAAATACTCAACCATATTCCAGGCAAAGAAAAAACAACAGAAGAGCTTATTCAGGTAAGCTCATCAATATATGTTCAGATAGTCAGGCGGCACTTGGGGCGCTTATAAGCCGAAAGGTATCGTCGAGACTCGTCTGGGAATGCCTAGGCGAACTGGGAGCTCTGGCACGAAGGAACAGAATTAAATTATTCTGGGTGTCGGGACACAGCGGCATCCAAGGCAACGAAAAAACTGATGAGCTAGCTAGGCATACCCTACTGGGAATACCCAAATGTATGGCCCGTAGTGCGGCTGTCAAGTGTTACCTGAACAAGCTCAACCTGCCCATCTAAGGAAGTTTTTGCTGCAGACTCTGTGATAAAGAGCCTGAAACAGTGGAGCACATAATATGTCACTGCGAGGCTCTGGATCGCAAGCGACACTTTTTATTTGGGACAGTTAGGCTAGAACCGAAGTCATATGCTCCTATCCTATCAAGGACCTGCATAAGTTGGTGCAGGATATAGAGATAGGAGAATGGGTGCCGACATATATAGAAGGGGACAAACCCAAAGAAAAGGTCGAGAACACCACACGTTTATTAACTCGACTTTTACCAAATATCCCAAGATCATCTAGAGGCGAGTTCTCATGGGTGTGATGCACTCACAAATTCTATATGCGGCTCCAGCGTGGCACAAGGTGACGGAAAACAAAAGTATAGTACAAAAGCTAGGTAGAATTCAGAGAACTGCATGCATCCGAGTTGCATGTGCGTATCGTTCAATATCTAGAAAAGCCGTAAATGTAATATCGAAAATGCCCCCCATAGAACTGCAAATAACAGAAAGGCTTGAAGTTTATGAGGGTATTGCAAAAGAAGAAGCCCGAAAGAACCAAATGAGACGCTGGCAGCAAAATGGGACAACGGAAAATACGGACGCTGGACGCACAAGCTTATCCCAGACATTGAGACGTAGATGAACTCAAAGGGTGAAGTGAACTACTTTTTGACTCAAGCACTTTCAGGACACGGGTGTTTTAGACAGTATCTCTTTCAACGGAAAAGGTCCAATACTGATCTTTCCAAATACTGCGGCGCAGTAGATGACGTTGAACATACCCTGTACGACTGTTCCCGGTGGAGTCAACAAAGATATCGATTCCAAATACTTACAGGACTTACATTTAATATATAGCTGTAATATGATGGAAAGTTTAACTAAGGGCATAGAATCATGGGAAAGTGCATATAGGACGGTCAGAGACATAATTGAGACTAAAGAAAAAGAACATCTTCTTTAGACAGCCTAATGCACTGAAGAAATGCGAGAGCGGTTACCGGTGCATTGATGGCAAAACAAGGGAAGGAGGGTTTTTTTAGTCGGTAAGAATCCGACAATACCAAATATCACACACGACTGGTATTGAAGGTGTCTTATGTAAGATTTTTCCCCAACTCACAAAAAAAAGGAAGGGGACAAACACAATAGGCCTCACAGGTCGCAATGTTTCCGGGAGAAGGCGGCCCCTTGTTATTGGAAAAAAATACCGTTAGGTGTTTACATTTATGATATTTTTTTGTGAAAAAACAATTGTAAATTTTGTGTTTTTCAAAAAAAAATTAGAAAATAATTTTTCATTTCAGGAAAAAATATGTATATTAGGTAATAGAATAAATTTAGAAGAAGGAATAAATGTAAAAAAATCCAATGGCTCTAAACTTTAACCAACATTTGTTTTTCCAATTTTCGGAGGCTCAATGGCCAACGGCAATATGGACATCATGGAAAAACGCCAAAAAGAAAATATATTTTTTTATCCAGATCTATTAGCCTGGAGAAGATACTTTGATGGCTTATTAAATGTGCAGGCAAATAAAGTCAAGCAGGAATATAATATCTTACGGCTGAAACCCTAGTGGCATAACCTACAACTAATCGCAAACTAAAAAATAACAAAGTCCACGTGTCACCTGCTTCTCCTACTCTTGTATATATGCTGTATCTTGTAAAATAGGCGAATAACTTCGCAGATTTTCTTGCAGATGATCGTAAGTCGGCAGGCTGGATGGGAATAAGCTGTGGTTTAGACGCCGTCAAAGTAAAATGGAACAAAAAAAACTCCTTAAATAAAATCTAATATTTTATTTAAGGAGGCCAAACAATTTTAAAGCTAATTATTTGAACGAACAATCAAGCTTAGCCTGGTCAGAAAAAACATGTATCGTGTGATCAAAAAGTTTTATGATTAAGTGTGATTTGACTTTGACAGTTAGAGTTGTCTTTCTGTCATGAATAAGCCATACTTATCATAAAACTTTTTAATCATATTATATTTAGCTAGTATAAGAACAAAAATACATAATATATCTTACCGTTCTAATATCGATAAGGATTCTAGGTCTCGTCCAAATTTTTAACAAAGTCAACGCATTAAAAACTGCACCAATAACAATACTAATTTCCACGCTAACTAATATTCCTAAAGCAAACGTTGACAAGGTCATAAAAAAGTCGATTTCTAAAAAATTATAGCTTAGATTATAAAATTTCAACCAAGTGACTATTACACACTTTTACATCTCCATAATGTAACAAATATTTCGAAGTCTACTAAACTACTCGCCGCTACAATTAGTACAGCTGCTAAGGTTGACTTTGGAATATAATAAAAGGATGGTGCCAAAAAACTTAGGGCCAATATTATGACACTGCCTAAAAATAACTTTTTATGGTTAGTAATCTTTAAAAATTAATATTTAAAAAATTAAATAAATAAATTTATAATTAAAATTATTAATTAAAAAAAATATATTTAAAAGTAGGTACCGACCTCACAATAATACAAAATCTTTTTTTTTAAGTTAATTTTTATTTTTTTACGTAATCTCTTTGCTAAGTCACATACTTCTCTTCAAAGACGATTTCAGGTCATCATCCTGCCCAAATAATAAAAAGACCTTGGGATCTAAATCTGGCAAATACGGAGGTTCAAAGGTTTAAACTGTTAATATAGAAGGAGGAGTTGTTCCACCAGTACACAGGGTAGTCTGAACTGTATTTCGGAAACTTCGGTAATTTGCAGATAAAAATAGGTAAAAAAGTTCCTATAAATGTATGTCTTAAAATGCTTAGTTTCGGAGATACAGGTCTGATACAGGGTATAGAAGTTTCCTTTTTATTTCGATTTTTTCCAAATAATTTCTGAAGTAACGTCAATATATGGATAAAAATTGGTGTCTGCGAGTTTTTTGGCATGAAAAATTTGATTTTGGTGTCAATATGGCTCCTTTTTCTAAGGGGCGCCACCTACATGTGTTTAACTGTTTTGGAGAATAATAACTTTTCGTCCGTACCTGTATAAAACTACTGAGTGAAAAAATATACATTTTTTTACGTAAAAAAGGTCTCTTGGTAAAAATCGCTACGAGTAACGGTTCTTTTTTAATTTATTAAAATTTGACTAACGGTTTCCGTCTTTCAAAATATGGGAAAACAAATTACACAGATTTTGTTGTATGACTAAGGTCGGTACGAGTTCATAATACTGTCTGTGTAAATTCTAAAATAAATTACCTGAATATAATCCTTGCAAAGGTGTAACTACACCACTACTACTGGCCACTGACGATCTTGTGAAAGCGCCACAACTTGGCATAGCCTTAACAAATGATCCAAAAATATTGGCAAGTCCCAAGGATATCATCTCTTGGGAAGCATCGACGACTGTGTCGAAACCTTAAAATATTTATCAAATTATTATTATTAATACTACATTATTTTTTGCTTTCCTTTTCAAAATTGCATTTAGAGCTCTAAAATCTATATGTTTTTGGTCTAGTATGAAAATTGAACAGCTGATGTTTTAAAGCATTTAAATGCCTATATAAAAAATGGAAGTATACATTTATAATCTGAAAGTTACTGTCATTTCAGAACTGTCTTCAAAACAACGCAACTGTCTTTGGATTGCGTTTTAACAGAAAAGCAAAAGATGTGATTAGGAGGAGAATGAGAATGTAACGTATGGTCCTAAAGTTTTGGGAAAATTTTCATCTGGTTTGGCTAAGTAATACAATGCATTTAATGAAATAGGCATGGTAATTAAATGTCATCAGTCATGTCACTTCAATAAACAAAGCAAAAGATTTTGGGTTCTGCTTCTTAAAATGTCTTATAAAATTGATCTCGTCGAGGAGTTTATAATCTTGTTGGGCGAATGGCGAAACGAGATATTGTCGTCATTTATCAAAACATTAGCAAATCGACAATTTATCGCACAATCAAAGAATGTGAAGAAGGGATACCATGTGTAAATTGCCTAAATCCGGTCGGCCGCGGATTTTGAACCAAATAAGAGAAGGCATCATGTGGATGACGAAATAATATTTTGGCCGGATCTCGCTTCATGCCATTACGCGAGAATCACAAGGGACTGGTATGAAGCGAACAATATCAATTTTGAAAGTAGACAATCCCCCTAACCTACCTCAGGCTCGCCCAATCGAAGAGTTCTGGGCAATATTGAATTGACTCATTGACGACATTGAGTCGGAAAGTCTACAATAACGGGTGGGAAGCACAAAACGAAGAACAATTACGACGCCGTATATTCAGAAAAATTAGAGAAATCGACGCCGAAGCTGTCCAAAGGATGATGCAACGCGTCAGGGGAATTCTTAGGCAAATCGAAAATAACGGTCCCTTGTCCACTGTAGTGGATTTATCTCTCCAAAAAAGTCCTATGGGTATTCGCCACGGTAAGAAAATCTACAAAATGAAATAGTTGTTTTTTGTAAACACTGCTGCGTTAATCCAACGGAAACTAACTGTCAGCAGTGCCTTACTAATAAACCAATTTTCCTAACGGAAAAAAAAGGTTACATAAATAATCTATTTATTTTTTAAAGAAACATAACATACCTAAAAATTAAAAACAATATAAAAATAATCATACAGAAAGTTTGAAGCTTTTTGGTTTTACCTTATAAAGCAATTGTTATCAAGTCGTAATTGTTAATTTTGAAGTTTAACTTGATATAATGTCATTTTAACAGAACGTCAACGGTTTTTGTAGAAGTATCTCTTTTAAAAAAGCTAAAGTGTTCTCGAATAGTTGCATTTAATTATTTTAAATTGTTTTTTTCTTTGTTCTTTGTATTTTTTTTGCTTCCGACAACGGAAAGAGATATACTTTTCGAAACGTTCAGGATTTTTTGTCCGTTAGGCAAATTTGTTTATTAGTAAACCACTGCTGACAATTAGTTTCTGTTGGATTAACGCCAGCAGTGTTTACAAACAATAATTATTTTATTTTGAATATCTTCTTACAGTGGCAAATACCCATAGGGCTTTTTTGGTAAAACAGTATGGGTATATATACGTTTGTTCGATTCAACATTTGATTCAACGGTTAGAGGCCTCAATTGAACACAGGATAGCTTAAACATTAGATAAAATTCCTAACTTTTTTATTATAGGAGCTGCAGATGTACAATACCTGTAGAGGTATTGTTTTTTTGTAACAATGGCAAGACAAGAAATTATTTTATCTTGACGTATCATATGTCAATATGAATGTCTGTTGAAAATCAGATATATAGCAATGTTAATTAACCTGCTAATTAAATGTTAATGTAATATGTTCTTTACTATATCAGATTTCAGTTACAAATTATAAACATACAATTTTCATTGTTCTACTTACTGTAGGCCTTTGCTATAGCTACATTAGCTAATACAGCAACTAAGGGAACCACTATTATACCTGATCCAAGACCAGTAACCATATCTACTAAAGAGACGGTTTCATTATTCACTTTAGCCGTAGTTGGTGGAAAACTGAAGTCTGGTAAACCACTAGGAACATCTCCTAAAAATTTCATCAAAAAGGGTTTTAGTTTAGGATTTTGAACAATGGATTGGTCACTAGTGTAAATGAATAATATATAAAGATGTAAATCCGCCTCATATGGGATTATTTTTTATTAATTGATTTGGTTAAATTTGATTAGAGGGCAGTAGAGGGAGAGATAGTTTTTAGTTTCGAATAAACTAAAAATGATACAATAAATTTTGACATAGAGCACTTAGCAAGGAAAAAATAAATTCATTATTATAGAATGTGAGCTAGCAACGTCGGAAAAACAAGTATTTTAAGACGTCTGGCTCTTTGATATACCTTTTACCATGCTCTCTAGAACAGCATGCGGCCCGTCTGGCCGTCGGTAAACGTTGCGTTTCCTACTGCGCATTGGAAGAAGATCCTATATTTTTATTAGTCCTTTAAATTCCAGTATTGAATATAAATCGAACATGTCTCCATAGCGCAGTGCGTAGAGTTTCCGACCCCGATCCGATGATTCAGAGTTCGAATCCGGGTCTGGGCAAAGCCTTTTTATTTTATTTTCGTTTATATTCTGATAGTAAAGTATTAAATATTTGTTTTTATCTAATTACCAAAATTATTTAATACTATACTATCAGAATATAAACTAAAATAAAAAAGTGTTTGACCTGGCCCGGATTCGAACTCTGAATCATCGGTTCGTGGTCGGAAACTCTACGCACTGCGCTATGGAGACATGTTCGATTTATATTCAATACTAGAATTTATAGGACTAAATTAATAAAAAATATAGGATCTTCCTCCGATGCGCAGTAGTGAACGCAACGGGTATCGGCAGCCAGACGGGCTGCATGCTGTTCCAGAGAGCACAGTAAAAGATATATCAAAGAGCCAGACGTCTTAAAATACTTTCTCGAAAACGTTGCTAGCTCTTAGACTATTAGTAGTTCCATTAGAACTGCAATCGACCTTTCTTTTACGTTACACTCCTTACCTTTTTTTGCCTGATTCAGATTGAACTTCCCCGCCAATCCAAAAATTTATAAAAAAAATCCACATTATGTAAAAGCAATAACCTCCATATTTTTTTTCAGTTAGTTGTTGCAGTTATTTTTACACAAATATAAAGTTATTATGGACTTAATGAATATGAAAATATTTTAAGAATAAAACCAATACTTTTTAGAAGGCTAAGTACATTTTTCCAGATATAACTATCTATAAGAATATAGAGTATATAATCTGCCAGAAGGAAGAACTCGAATAGTCGACTGATACAAATAATTCAAAAATACGCCTTTTGCACATACCTGTTAATTTAAAAGGAGTTTGTCCTTTCCATTGAAACCAAATAAATGATATAATAGAAGAAATTAATACTACAAGAGCATTTTTCGAAATTGATAAGAACCACAACAGTTTCTTTGTTTCTTCTGTTTTACATCGAATTTTTGTTATTTGCTAAAAATAATGAAAAAAATAAATGTTTATTTTTTACCAGTTATAATACAGCAAAGTTTTAGTGTAGATTTTAAGTTTCCAAAACGAATTAGATCAAAAATATCGCATAGAAAAGGCTATCTAACTCCTACACCATCTTACTTTATTATACAGCAATACAATAAGTGCAGAGCTGGTAGATTAGAATAAATATTTTCAGGGCCGGTAGATCTCGATAAAAAGAAACATATTTTTATTTTCTTTTTACATTGTTCCAAATCAGTCCAAAATAATTAACTGAGTTATTTTACTTTGAAAATTAAAAAAAAAATATTTTTTCCTTAAATTTTGAGAACCACCGATTCTTTTCTGGGTTTTCTTTCTTGTAAATTTAATATACTACCTATGTTGCCATATAATGAAGAAATGTTTTTTTAACTAAAAACTACAAAATTTCCAAAATATTTTTCAAAAAAATCAAAATTTTAAAAATTTACGCGAAAAAAACCTCATAGACTTCTGGGATTGAAATATACTACTCCTAAAAATATTTAGAGGATTTATATATTATGTGGATATAATACTGGCAGTCTTCGCCAGGGACGATCAGAAGCGATCCCTCAATTATATAGATTTATATTGTCTCTTATATAAACCTCACCCTCTATATGCTATAGATTTTTATTTATCTAAGATACAGAATTTGTAAAAAAGTCTAAAACTGATAAAAAAATGTAAAAAAAACAATTATTAGGGCAGGAATATTATAATGAATGACAAAATAGAGTTGCATATTTTAAGCTCTATGTATACAGGGTTGTTCACCACATACGACACGGAGTATTGTAGCTAAATGATTAGATTTTTACAAATTGTAAGTTTTGGGTTGGTTGAAAGACTATTAGAGGTAAAATTTAAAAATATTTTTACAAGATACAGAGTGTCCCAAATAAATAAAAAATATCAAAGTTGTATTTTTTTAAATGGAACACTCTATATATTATTACATTTTTAGTTTCTACGATTAAAATAAAGGTAAATTTGATTAAGGTTTATTACACTTAAACCTTACCGTTTTTGAAATATTTTTAATTTTGTGAAATTGCAGTAAAATTTTTTGAAGGCTTCATTTCTTCAAGGGTATCAAAGTTTTTAATACTAAATATTTACTGAAGTCTATTTACTGATCAGTTATTGGGTTGCAATAATAAAAATAATACTACCTCATACAGAGTGTCTGAAAATTTATTTTAAATTATTGCTAGCTTTAAACGGCAATAACTTGTTTGATTTAAATGTAACGCCCTGGATATTTTAGGAGAATAAAAGGCACAATTTAATTGTCTATCAAATTGTATTATACGATTTTTTACCTATTCCTTCAAATTTTCGTAGAAAATGCATTTTTTTATAATTTAGACCTCATTTATCAATATACCCATGGAATATTGACATTTTAGATTGTTTTTAAAGCAACAAATGTACAAAATGTACAGGCTTATAATATTATCGTTTTTAGCAAAATTATAATATTACTAGCCCATTTGTATGCAAAAAGAAAACTATTTAAATCTTTATAAAAGAGTATATCATTAATTAAATATACCACCATTATTTCTGCCCAAATACTAATTAATTACATACTTAATTATGTTCGTTAATAAATTATTCTGAATAAATGTGGGTTTGAATCAGAAATCAATATAATAATATGTTATGAAAATGAATGTATCTATTGTTATAAATAAGCATTTGTCAAAAAATGAAATATCCTTTTTAAAGTGTTACTTTTTACCACACTGTCTAATACAGATACAAAATTCATTTTTTTAGTATTTGGAGCAATTATTATTAATCAACGCAAACAGTCAATTAATGTAGTTTGAATACTGGAATCATATTAATTGGTCCTCTCTAACAAATATTTAAACAGTTTTTTTATTTCTTAATGAAATAAACAAACTATATCAACAATATTAAATTTGGTACATCTTTAAAAATAATCTAAAATGTCAGTATTCCATGGGTATATTGATAAATGAGTTTTACATAACAAGAAAATGCATTTTCTACGGAAACTTGAAGAGATAGGTAAAAAATGGTATAATACAATTTGATAGACTGAATTGTGCATCTGATTTTCATACAATATACAGGGTGTTCCATTTAAATTAAACAAGTTATTACCGTTTAAAGCTAGTAATTATTTAAAATAAAATTTTAGACACTCTGTATAAGGTAGTATGATTTTTATTATTGCAATACAATAACTGATCAATAAATAAACTTCAGTAAATATTTAGTATTAAAAACAGTTGATACCCTTGGAGAAATGAAGTCTTAAAATTTTGACTTTGACAAAATTGAAAATATTTCAAAAATGATAAGATTAAAGTGCGGTAAACCTTAATTAAATTTACCTTTATTTTAGTCATAGAAATTAAAGATGTAACAGGGTGTTCCATTTAAAAAAATACAACTTTGATAATTTTTATTTATTTGGGACACTCTGTATCTTGTAAAAATATTTTTAAATTGTAGCTCTAATAGTCCTTCAACGAACCCAAAACTTACAATTTGTAAAAATCTAATCGTGTAGCTACAATACTCCGTGTCGTATGTGGTGAACAACCATGTATATGCAAAAATTATGCTTGGAACTATTTAATATTCTTAGCCTAAGCAATGAAATAGCGGCTAGTGCAACAATTTTTTTATCACACTGTATTTCAAGAATATTTTTAAAACCTTCATGGAAATTTTAAGGAACGCCACTAATAAGAACTCGTAAGAACGAAGGCGGCTCATTAGCATATTTGGAAAAAGCATTTTTTTACGAATAATTTGGTACCACACACTAGGTATTTCCAGTTAAATTGTCGTTATGAACCGCATGTTACAATTTATAATAAACCATATGTGTAATGACAGTAGTTGACATATGATATGCCATTCTATTCAGAGTGTCATTTTCTATCGATATCGAATAAAGTAAAAAAATACCGAGGGTATCATTTAAAAATCAAAAGTTGTAGTCATTTTCGCTGAAACAGGAAGTGACGGAAAACAATTGAATACGTCATTCAATCCTGATTTATGTCATATATCTACTAACGTACCAAATCCCGTTTTTTTTTCTAAAAAAATAAGAAAGTTAGAGGTGTGAGCCACTTTTGAGAAACATCCTGTATACGATGAAAAAATAAATTAACATGTATTTTGTGTGGTATAGGATGTTCACAAAATATGATTATTTTAATGCAATACGTATTTTAAAATAATATTTAAAAATATATTCACTTCATACAAATATATTATACAGGATCAGTCTTAAATAAGTGCAAATATTTTCAGGGCTAGTGGATCTCGATAATAGAAACATATTTTCTCTTTACAGTTTTTCAAATAAGTTCAAAAAAGAACTTTGAGAAAACTTTGAAAATTAAAAAAAATTGCCTAAATTCTCAGAAACACGGATTTTTCCAGGTATTCTTTCTTGGAATTTAGTCTACTATGTTACCATATTATCAAGATATTGTATTTTATAACATAAAACTAAAAAAAAATCCAACAAAGTTTTAAAAAATACAAGAAAAACCTCATATTTATTAGGTGGGAATTATTTATATAATAATTATTTCTGAGGTCATAACATACCACCCGTAAAAATATTTGCACTTTAAGACTCAACCTGTATATCAGGCGTAAATTAACTAAGTATTTTTATGTAAAGTAGATAAACGATATTATCAAACCCAAATTCAACAGGATTATCAAAACGGACTATGACGTCATGAGATTTATACTACTGTAGTAAATCAGGTGTTAAGATACAAGTAATTTTATGAAATCACTGTTGTTTAAAGAGTTGAGTAAATATTTTATATTTTTAATTTGTGATATTTTCGAGATGCAACATCAAATGTGCCATAAATCTATAATCAAAAAAATTCAGAGAAACCGTTAAACTCATAGACAATGTCTTTAGTTAAATTAAATTATATTATGTACAGGGTGGCTCGAATTCGACGCTCATCATTGGGATTTCGGAAACCGTAAGAGAAACAGGATCGGTTAAATGGAGGCAAAGTTGCGCAATTTGATGCTCAATAAAATGCCGTATTGAATTTTTATTTTTTATTTTTTTTTATTCTTTTTGCATAAAATATTCTGGTGATGGAAATTTCTGTACGAAACGTCGGCAAATATCAAAGTGACTATATATACAGGGTGCTACAAATTCGAGGTACGAGCATTGGTATCTCGGAAACCGTAATAGATACGAAGATGGTTAAATTGGGGCAAAGTTGCTCCTTGGAATGTTCACCAAGATGCCATCAAAAAACTTTTATAAATTTTAAGTATTGCTGAGTTTTTTGAAAAAAAATGATTTTTTTGAAAATCAATTTTATTTTTTCCTGTCGTTACTTTTTAGAAAATCAAAAAACTAATTGCACATTCTCATAACCACTTTATTAGGGCTATCTGATGGTAGTTTTAGATTTTCAAATTAGCTGAAAATTTGTGAGATACAGAAGCGAACTTAATTTTTTTAAATACGGACCTGCATTTTTATTTCAAGTTTTGAAAGACTTCGGTGGTCTCCTGAGTACAATGATATGCCACACTTGATACTTCTTTTTTGTTTTGGATACCTTAACAATAAAAAACTATTTAATTGTTATTTAAAATAATTTCAACTCCGACTCTGGTTTTTTAATTTATTTAATCTGTTTAATCATAGTTATTTAGCATTAATCAAACATTCTTATCATAAGTTTCCGGAATACAGTTCGGACCACCCTGTATAAAAAACTTAAGCTTCATTCAAAACCTGAATTGTCATAAAACGACGCTCTAACCTAATTAATATCGATCTGCTATCTATTGGAGTCCCGTTTTCTAATGTTAGGTAATTTTTTTTTAGTTTTTAGTTAATCTGAATTTTCCAAATCGTTTTTAAATTTTTTCAGTCAATGTATCAACCCTTGGCTTCGAACAAGCCGATCCTGCTGATATTGAGATTGCTGGCGGCGGCTCTCAAAATATTGGCATTATTTTCTTTATTTTCAAAGTTAAATAACATGGTTATTATCAATTTATTTTAAAAATGGTAAAGAGAAAATATGTTTCATTTGGCCAGATCTACAACCCCTTAAAACACTTGCACTTATTTCTAGGACACCCTGTATAGTTTGAATTTAAAATTATAAAATTAAAAAATAAAATTAAATAAATAATTTCTTTTCAAGAATTCCATTTCACTTACTTACCTTAAACGAAAGTAAAAATACCACACATAAAACTCCTAACACGGTATCGGCTATTTTTAAACTAGAGATTCGTTGTATTACTTCTATTATAGTACTAAGTGTCTCATGGCTCTTAATATTCAGTCCCAAAAAATTTTTCAACTGGGAAACAAGTATGATTATGGATGTGGCCGAAGTAAAACCGCTAGTAAGACATGGAGACAAAAAATCCACTAGAAATCCTAAAATAAATAGATTAAGATTAGATCAGAATTAGACTAATAATCCAGAAAAATGTATTTTATAAATTTAAAAAAATGCATTCACATTCACTTATTGTATACTACTACAGGTCAGAGATAGTGATGAGCAAATGCAAGACCAAGACTCGCTTGGTCTTGGTCTTGCAGTCTAATAGTAGTCTTGGCCTTGGTCTTACAGGGTCCAGTCTTGATCTTGGTCTTGTTGCAAAACTCAGGACATGACAAGCTACTAATTTCTACAATCTTAGTACCATCTATGCACCTAATCTGTATTTTAATTACGATTAACCCTTTGACTTAATTAAAACTAAAAATATTTCGGACTTCCATTGTCTTTATTTATTTGCTTACACAACGTTTCGATCTGAAGTATCACTGACCGTTATCAAGTGTGAATTAAACTAAATCCTAAAACTACTGAGCTTATATACTAGAGCCGAACACTCATCCGTGAATTAGTTGGGTTCACCACTAAGAATACCTGCATGGGAGCGTTTTATGAATGGTTGCCATATTGTTGAAATTTCCATACTTGGTCATTGTACATAGAGTACATTGTATTATATAAAGATTGCTCTATGACATATGCAGTAACCAAGAATCTCTGAATTACGAACTAAGTAATTTAAAACCGATTTGCTTCAGAATGGTTACTCTGTAAAATACCTAGACAATATTATATCCAATTGTAAGTCTGACTGATTGGTGCTCCAACCTGAGGAGGAAGCTCTCTTTCTTGACGATTCGATATGAGAAAGGAACATCGGCGAAAATCAAGCGAATAGCTAAGCAGTATAATATTAAAATTGTTTTTAAGTCTGGCACTACTCTAACTACTACTTAGTCGTGTGAATATCGGCGGGTGAAAAATTACGCACCGTTGCCTTAATACTATCAAAAAATAGATCTAAATGATCTTTTTCTGTTTCTGATTTTTCCGAATTTTTGCGTTCAACAATTCAATACAATTCTGCATTGTCACGCACTGCCTCTGTCATTTGTTCGTCCATTTTATATTGACAATTTGAAAAACACATTCACAGGGAAGAAAGTATTTACCCGAAACGCAGAATCAGAACAGAATTTGGCCGACACCTGATCGCACTATATTCACACTGCCGTCCAGTCATCCGACAGTCAGGTCTCGATCTGTTCAAAATATTGTCTCCGAGAAATTCCGCGGTCAAAGAGCGTGAGCGTACCGTGAGCGGATTTGCAAATGTGGATGCTCCGTATAAATTACATTGAATAATAAATTTTGACCGTGAGCGGACAGTGAGCGTACTGTGACTTGAGCGCCTAGTGGAAATCGGCCTTAAGAAGCGTCCTAACAAAAACAAAACCGGAATCATCAAACCAAGCAAGAGAGTGCATCTACCACGTACCGTGCGGTACGTGGTGCGGTGAGTCGCGCGAGTGCGGTGAGTTGTATATGGAGAGACAAAACGTCCTCTACATGTTCGACTTGACGAACATAAAAAACATACGCAAAGTGGCGAAACAATAAAGTCGGGCATTGCAGATCATGTGTGGACTACAACACAAAATGGTCGGAAGCCCGGGTTGTCCACAAAGAACCTCATTGGAAAAAGCGCAAATTTAAAGAGGCCGTATTTGTTTCTAACAATAATAACATCTTTAGCAATTAAAGTATGGAAATTTCAACAATATGGCAACCACTCATAAAACGCTCCAGTTCAGCTATTCTAAATTAGGATTTAGTTAAGTTTACACTTGATAACGGTCAGTGATACTTCTGACCGAAACGTTGTGTCAGCAAATAAATAAAAACAATGGAAGTCCGAAATTCTTTTAGTTTTAATACTGAGTCATTGTCTACCGCATTCAAAGTAACCCTTGACTTAAGATGCATTGTCTTAAGTCAGGTAACATGGAAATCTTATAATTTTTTCAATCTTATCAAAAACCTTAAATTCAATCTGTATATCAATTACCTAATTTAAATAAACCCATAGCAAGTTCAATGCATCCAGCTATGAATGTTAAAAGAATAACGTATTCTATTGGGCTTTCCTTTACGTAAGAAAACGTAAGTATCGCCATTAGACTAGTAGGTCCAATTGAAACTTCCTTTACTGACCCAAAGAAAATGTATGTAAATGATCCAATAAATGCAGTGTACAGACCTGAAAATAAAAAAAAACTAATTAGCTAAATTGTAAAATTTGTAAAGTGTGAATAATATATGTGTAAGACAAGGTGACTCTTAGATGAGACCAAATATTTTCAGGGGTGGATATTTCGACCCCAGAAACATGCCAGTTTCTTTGCGACAAAAAAATAGAGAAAAATAAGTTCCTAATGTGACGTTATTGAGTACTAAGTGGCGATTTTTGAAAAGCCTTAGGGGAGAAGCTTTGATAAAAAAATGGTTAATATTCTGGTCTGGAAGTATGAAATCTAGCACAAAGCTTCTTTAAGTGGAGATAAAGAAGATACATTTCTTACTATCTAATGTGGAAATTGTGTATTATTATTTTCGAAAATACATTCCCTAACAGATAAAATTTGAAGGAGGGATAAAGTTTATACTGGGTGTTTCAAAAAACGTGTCATCTCTCGTGGGGACATTCCTCACGTAAAAATAAGATTTATTTTTCATGTCAACATGGTTCGTTTCTGCTTTAAATGCATAATAAAAAACTAAATGTCAAAACGGATGACAATATCAGGAAATAAATAAATAAATGCGGCAACTTGACATTTTTTACAGCAGAGTTGCCACCTGAATCCCTAGCGGCAAATTTAAATTCCACTTAGTCAGCAAGGCGCCGGCGCCGATAATGTCAATGAAAATTTAAAAATCGCACCCTCCATGACGTACCAAAATGTTTATTTGATATGAACCGTATACAGGGTTGTTCACCACATACGACACGGAGTATTGTAGCTAAACGATTAGATTTTTACAAATTGTAAGTTTTGGGTTCGTTGAAGGACTATTAGAGCTACAATTTAAAAATATTTTTACAAGATACAGAGTGTCCCAAATAAATAAAAAATACCAAAGTTGTATTTTTTTAAATGGATCCCCTGTATATTATTGCATTTTTAGTTTCTACGATTAAAATAAAGGTAAATTTGATTAAGGTTTATTACACTTAAACCTTACCGTTTTTGAAATATTTTCAATTTTGTGAAATTGCAGTATAAATGTTAAGGCTTCATTTCTCCGAGGGTATCATAGTTTTTAATACTAAATATTTACTGAAGTTTATTTATTGATCAGTTATTCTGTTGCAATAATAAAAATTATACTATCTTATACAGAGTGTCTAAAAATGTATTTTAAATAATTACTAGCTTTAAACGGCAATAACTTGTTTAATTTAAATGGAACCCCCTGTATATTTTATGAGAGTCAGATGCACAATGTAATTGTCTATCAAATTGTATTATACCACTTTTTACCTATCCGTTCAAGTTTTCGTAGAAAATGCATTTACTTATAATTTAGACCTCATTTATCAATATACCCATGGAATATTGACATTTTAGATTGGTTTTAACACAACAAATGTACAAAATGTACAGGCTAGTAATATTATCGTTTTTAGTAAAACGATAATATACTAGCCCATTTGTATGCAAAAAGAAAACTATTTAAATCTTTATAAAAGAGTATACCATTAATTAAATATACCACCAGTATTTCCGCCGAAATACTAATTAATTACATACTTAATTGTGTTCGTTAATCAATTATTCTAAATAAATGTGGATTTGAATCAGAAATCAATATAATAATAAGTTATGAAAATGAACGACTCTATTAGAAATAAGCATTTGTCAAAAAATGAAATATCATTTTTAAGGTGTTAGTTTTTTTACCACACTGTCTAATACACATACATAATTTAGTTCTTTAGTATTTGGAGCAATTATTAGTAATCAACGCAAACAGTCAATTAATGTGGTTTGAATACTGGAATCATATTAATCGGTCCTCTTTAACAAATATTTAAACAGTTTTTTTTATTTTTTAATGAAATAAACAAACTATATCCACAATATTAGCATCTGTACTCTTTAAAAATTTGGTACATCTTTAAAAATAATCAAAAAATGTCAGTGTTCTATGGGTATATGTATTGATAAATGAATTCTAAATTACAAGAAAATGTATTTTCTACGGAAACTTGAACAGATAGGTAAAAAATGGTATAATACAATTTGATAGACAATTAAATTGTGCATCTGATTCTCCTAAAATATATAGGGTGTTCCATTTAAATTAAACAAGTTATTGCCGTTTAAAGCTAATAATTATTTAAAATAAATATTTAAACATTCTGTATAAGGTAGTAAAATTTTTATTATTGCAACAGAATAACTGATCAATAAATAAACTTTAGTAAATATTTAGTATTAAAAACTTTGATACCCTCGGAGAAATGAAGCCTTAAAATTTATACTGCAATTTCACAAAATTGAAAATATTTCAAAAACGGTAAGGTTTAACTGTAATAAACCTTAATCAAATTTACCTTTATTTTAATCGTAGAAACTAAAAATGCAATAATATACAGAGTGTTCCATTTAAAAAAAATACAACTTTGTTATTTTTTATTTATTTGGGACACTCTGTATCTTGTAAAAATATTTTTAAATTGTAGCTCTAATAGTCCTTCAACGAACCCGAAACTTACAATTAGTAAAAATCTAATCGTTTAGCTACAATATTCCGTGTCGTATGTGGTGAAAAACCCTGTATAAAAATTGATATAAAACGTCGAATTTGTCCCAAACGAGAATATTTAAATGGACAGAAATCTAAGCGACAGACTATCGGTAGGCCAAGTCCACGCACTAAATCAGGAGGACAAGTCTGCATGCCAAATCCGCAAGGCCAAATAAAACACAAAATTTCTTTGTATATTATACACGGTCCGGCAATAGTGCGTCGGGCATCTGTATAGCTCTCTTCTATATGCTCCTAGAATAAAAAACTTGGAAATTTTGTTTATGTCCAAACCTCAAAAGTATGTAGGTACTAGGATGTATTTCAGGAAAATATTTTAACTTTTATACGGTGGCTCAAAAAAGTGTGAGTGAATAGGGATGTTTTCTTTAAATGGAACACCTTGTATATTATTGCATTTTTGGCTTCATTTTAGATCATTTTACATAATCCTAAGATATTTCGATAGTTTCAGAGATATTAATAAATTTTCTTAAAAAAAAACTTTAAAAAAACTTTCTTAAAAAAATATTGAAAATACAAGAACTGTCCTAAAATCAAAAACTATATTAGGTATTTAATTTGGATGGTATCTTCTTACTTTGCTATAAATATGGTAATCGTAAATCATAGAGAACATTCAAAAATCCACGCCAAAGTTTCTAAAATATAAAATAATTTTTCTTCCTTTTTTTAAATGGAACATAAATCATTTTTATGATTTTTAAATAGATGGAGAATTAAAAAATATTTTTTTTTGTATTTAGAGTATTTCAAAATTTTTAACGGTTAAGCGCGGTAACATTCGCGGTTTTATATTTCATATGGCATTTGCCGCATTACATTTTTATCACAACAAAATTTTTCTCTCGTATTTTACCATTTATTTTATTTAGCGTATGGCAACAATTAAATATTACATGAAAAATTAAAATTTTAATCCTAATGACAAAACTAACATTAAATCTTAATATCTAAGTTTTCAATCCAACCATTTTGAAAGAGCATTTTAGCAGAATTTTACCATTGAAAGAGCAATATGAAATAATATTACACGTATCTGCAAAACAAAAAAAAAATACTTTAAATACAAAAAATGCTCGTTTTTTACCTCTCCATCTATTAAAAAAAGAATATACAGGATGTTCCGTTTAAAAAAAATCATCCCGATCAACTCGCTCTTTTTTAAACCCCCCTATAGAAGTTAAAATATTTTCCTCAAATACTTTAGGTATGCACTTAAACAAAATTCTCAAAATTCTTTATTCTAGAACAGATGCCCAATACACTATTGCCGGACCCTGTAGGGTATATAAATATAGATTGTAAATTCTAAACCAAGTAATGAAGTTGAATAGAAGATCCGACGTTTACGCAACGACGTTACGGAAAAGGCAGACTACACAATTGAAAGAAGAATATGATAAGGAAGCATCACTGCAATTAGGGAAAGAATCAAGCTGAATATGATGATAACAGGCTTAATACTTACTACCACATTTTTACTTACCATATTGAGGTTTTAAACCTGCTAAGCCAGCATACGCTACTGATTGGGGAATCATAGTCATCCCTACAGTAATACCTGCTACAAAGTCCGCCAATATATCTTTTTTTGAATACTTTGGTAACCATTGTAAAAAATGGAGTCTTTTCTGTAAAACTTTCTTTATTTTGGTCCCGACTGATCTTCTATCTTTCAAATCTAATGCACCTGCCACTAAAATATTTTCATATGTTTTTATATACCTACTTGGTTCTAAGATTAATATTTCTGAAGACTGAAAACGATTAGTTAAATTACACATGCCCAAAGTTAAGAGTTTTGGTACTGTGTGGGCGGTATAATTTTTTTTATTTATAAGTTAAAAAGTTTTCAAATATCAGAATCCGCTTAAAGAATGACATGATTTACATTACAATTACATATACAGGGTGAGTCTTAAATAAGTGCAAATATTTTCAGTGCTTTTAAAAAAATGATGCAATTTAAAACCCTCAACTGGCGTGGTGAATTTTTGTAATGCTTATGGCGGGCTGGGGTCCGACGGACCCCAATTTTTTTTTTTCAGTTTAAAATACATGAGGAAGAGATTTTATAAAAAGCTTGTTATTTTAACACTTTTTACAATATATTCAAACTTGTGAATAAACAATTTCATTAATTTTCAACAAATTAATAAGGGACACAAAAATAAAGTAAAACGCATTTTTTAGGAATTTTTGACAACAGAAATATAACTTGGCTAAGAAACCCATAAAAATTAAAAACATATATATATTTTATGATTGTACCGTATTATTAAAAGTACAAACAACTGAAATGTGAAGCTAATGTAATAAACATAAATTATTTTCAACAAAACTGCAAACCTTGAATGTACATAACTTTTTCAAATACAGTTCATGCTAATATAGGATCTACATTTGCCGCACATGGATCGTGCACATTTGATTCATGAGATTTTTGTTTTTTGTCATTTCTTCATTGACATATATGGTTGCCATATACCACATCTCTTTCTTTTCTAGTATTGATTATTCAATTTTCTCTCTTCTATAAGTAAGAGATTCAGAATCGGAGTTATGGTTACTCTTCGGAGAAAAATCAATGTCTCGATGGTCTTCATCTCACTTAAGCCTTTTTAAGTTCATCAAACCACTCAATTAATGCTTCCTCAAAATTAGCGTCCCACTGGTAGGAACAGAACTTGATAAAATCAAGTGCGCCTTTAACAGTTGCATATTGGTACCCTACCTTAAAGGTAAATTAGGCACGGCGAGGCCTAATTCTTAAACGTAAACATTTTACAGAGGTTTAAATATTGCTTGGGGTCCGCTAGACCCCACCACGCCCAGTTGAGGGTTAAAAAAATTATTTATTTATAAAAAATTTTGAAAGCCGCCGGATTTTTTTCTACATTTGCATCCCTTTTAGTGCCGTAACCACAGAGTAAAGCCGTAACCATGATAATCTGATGATTATACCGTGGGAAAATTTACTGTGAACAGCTAGTTCTAAAAAGTTCTAAAATATACACAAAAATTAAAAAAAAATGCACGATTTTCAACATCTTTTTATTGCGAAAAAAACCTCATAGACGTGTTCCCGAGGTCGAAATATACTACCCCTAAAATATATGCACTTATTTAAGACTAGCCCTATATAAGTGGGGAAAAAATTAAGGGACGTCAGAGAGGTGGTCTTTTGGTCGGGCGGCAATCTAAATACACTGTCAAGCTGTCGGTGGTTAATTATAAGCCAAAATAAGATCAATAGTATTAGTATTATTTTTCAGTGGAATATAATCAATACAGGGTGTCAAAAAATAGTGTACCCTATTTCAGTTGGTAATTCTACAAAAAAAAATAAAACCAAACATTCTTAGGAACATATGCCCTAACTAATGTGCTTCCCGAGCAAGTTATAGCCTTCAAAATGGTAAATAAAACGTTCTTACGTAAGAAAATCCTAGCTTTTTATGTCATTTGTTGAAATTACTGCATCTCCTATAATGATAAAAAAGTATCAACAGTAGTAGGTACCCTCTCCCTAATCGAAAGTAACCATTTCAGGACTTACGGGATTTTACACCATCGCCATTCGTTTTGGTCTTAAAATATGTAATGAGTACCAAATGTTTATAAGAAAATATATTATTTTTATTTAATCTCTCGAGGACTGTAACTTCCTCGGCAAGCATCTTAGGGCAATGTTCATAAGAACTTTTTGTTTTATTTTTATCTGTAGAATCACCCTTTGAAGTTGGGTGCACTATTTTCTGACACCCTCTATATAAACAAAAATGCTTATCACAGGTATATTTTATAAATCTTTAAATTTCCTGCCACTTTAATTTGTTCGATAATAATTAGACATTTCTCAGACAACACGCATTCTTGGTTGTTAAGTTAACAACGTACATGCGTTAAAGTTAATAAAAAATTAATTATAATTTCATAATTCTAACAATTAAATTTGAAATTTGATATAACTACTTACTATTTTTTTAATAACACCAAATATTTTATGGGCTGATAACTATTTATATTTTAAATTTCTAAAAGAGTATATCACTATCTTTTTTATACCATTTGACAGTAACTGACACTAAACTAGTTTGTATATTAAAATTTGTAAAATAAAAAGTTTTAGTTAATTATATAATGTAATATATTTTTATCAGTTAAGTCTAATATTCTTAGCTATAAAGCCAAAAATAAGCAAAAGTACTGAACAAATATTATGATACACTATACAGTGTCCAAAATTTAGTTTTTCACAATTTCTCTTCTAAAATGCATGTAAACATAAGAAAATAATAAATAGTTAGAAAAGAACATTAATATAGATAAATTAAAATGAGAGAATGATCAAGTACTAAAGTAAATCTTAAGAAATATTACTATTTAACTAAGTACTTGTTGAGTTGCCACTATATACGGGATATATTCATGTCCTTCGCAGTAATATAATATATTTATACTAGATGTAAATTATGAGAAAAATACTGTTTGTCAAATAACTTTCTTTAGGGTACAAAACAGGATCTATACAGGATAAATAAAAAGAGATATTAAAAGAAAAATGTAAAAAATATAAAATATTATTTCTAATGTAAGTACACTTAACTCTCTGCAACTCAAAGTATAATCTAGAAATTGAATATAGAAAAAATTATTGGGCTTTATCATTTTCCTCTATAGTAATACTTTTAGATTTGGTTTTATAAATATCCATGTCTGGGAGCAATCTTGGAAAAACTGGAATTTACTTTTATACAACTGGAATTTATATGTTTTAGCAATTTTGGGTCAACTTTCGTTTAGCTGAAATCAGTTATTAGAAAAAAAAAATTTGTCTTTAAAAAGCTACTGTGAACCACGGAAACACAAATTTTCCTGCGGAAATGCGTAATTTCCAAATTTTGCACTTTAGAATCAATGAAATCTGCTATAAAAAAATACAGTTTGCGTTTTATTTTTAATATTTTTCTGAAATTATAAACATAAAAATCTTCCTGCGGAAATAAGCTGTTTTCAATTTCTAAGGAAATTTATTAGACTTTAGAATAGCTGAAATCAGTTTTATATAAAAAATAAATATATTTTTGCCTTTTAGAAGCATTCACGAATTGAGGAAAATAAAAATTTTTCTGCGGAAATAAACTGTATCCATTTTCTGAGGAAATTTAAATATTTTAATTAAAATAGACTTTAGAATAGCTGAAATCAGTTATATAAAAAACAAATATATTGTTGCCTTTTAGAAGCGTTAACAAACTCAGGAAAAAAAAATTCCTACAAAAATGCTTGATTTTCATTTTCCATTTGTTCCTTATTATATTATCGGGTCTTGTAAAGTATAAGTACCCACAAATTTAGCAAATTTTTTTTGGCAGAAAGTCCTATGCTTTAAAAGAAAAAAATTCCTTGGATGAAGCACTTTTGAACCAAAAAAAATAATTTAAAAGTGTCTAAAATGCTAACCAATCTAATAATAAATCTAATAATATTTTTACAAAATCACAGTTAATTATTAAAGTATAAAAACCATAGCTTAACACCCTCCACAAAGAAAAGCTAACCAACGCAACCCAAATCCTAACCAAACTAATAATATTTTTGCAAAATCACAGTTAATTATTAAAATATAAAAACCACAGCTTAACACCGTCCACAAAGAAAAGCTAACCACAGCAACCCAAATGCTAACCAATGTAATATTTTTGCAAAATCACAGTTAATTATTAAAATATAAAAAAAAACTGCATGAACCAATGATTTTTTGTTTTGAATCAGCCCTATTTACGTAAAGCTTTAATAAAAAACAAGAATAAGTGCAACATTCCGAGGTACTTATAGGTTTACAAGAACCTATATTATCTATTCTACAAGAATTGTTATCCTCCAAAAGATGTTTTACCCCACCCAGCACCTCGCTATTCGCTCCCGGGTCCCGTAATCTTCTAAATTGAAAAATGTATGAAAAACAAAGGGCACAAAATGACATTGACACATTTGCGCAGGAATTTTTATGTATTTCTTTGCTCGAAAAGGCTCGTTTAAAACAAATATAAGTTCATTTTTCATGTAACTGATTTCGGCTATTCTAAAGTCAAGGTATTTTTTTATGTAAAATAAAAATAAAAAATTTCCGCAGACACTTTTTTGTGTTTTTATGTTTAGAAAAATGTCTAAAACACACCTCGAATACTAGTTTTGATGTAACAGATTTCGGCTATACTAAAGTCCGAAAAATGAAAATGACGCATTTCCGCAGGAACATTTTTGTATATTTGTACTCCTAACGCCTTCTAGAACGCATACAGGGTGAGTTTCCTACGATGTTCTCTATGGGTATCTCGAAATCTACTGAAGATAGAGAGTCGGTTAAATGGGCAAAGAATTGCAATTTTGTGGGGTCATAAATATGCGCCTTTCAGGTTTATGAAAAATTTCATGGCTTACTAGATATTTCAAAAAAAAAAGTTTTCAGATAAAAGTTGTAGATAATCACATCCTTAATGAGACTGTGTCCTCCGCTTTTTTCTAAAGCCTCTCATTTTTGACATATGATACAAACATATGTCTTTTTAAATGGAGACCATAGTTGGCCATGACTTCATAAAAAGCGCCATTGTTTAAGCTTTTTAGCGATATAAGCTATAATATGTTTTCTTCGAAAACTTACTGACTTATAACCAATTCTTAACATTTTTAAACAATTTCACTTAGTTAGCCACGGAAACAAGTTCAATCAAAACTTTGTAAATTAAAATAAACAAAAATTTTAAATATGAATTTTTCAAATGAAGAAAAGCGTGTAGATACTCGCGCATCAATAGAGTGGTTCCAACATGAGTTTCATTATGACCCCTCCCCCCATAATGAAAGAAATGTTAAAAATTATTTATATCATAATTATGCAAATTCAGGGATAGGAAGAGGTGGACTAATTGCATGGGTCCCCTCGATCACCTGACCTATCCATTTTAGATTTTTTTATACGGTATGGTTCACAATAAGGTTCACAAAAGAACTTATGAATTAAGAGAGGCACTGGAAGTGGCGGTACGAGAGAAGTTTAATTAAGTGGACCGGTCCTTCTGTAAGAATAGGTAATAATTCAGTTTTAAAAGGATGTAACTCTCAAAACAATGGTGGATTTTTTGAACATTTTCTAAAATAACTTAAAGTGTATGTAGTGATATATTTTTTAAGTTTTAGTTTGTGTAATGTAAACTGTAAAGAACCATTTTAGTAATATATTCTGACTTTTTATAACTTATAAATCATAAGAATAAGAATACGATGCAATCTAAGTGAAATTAGTCAAGAAAGATAAGAATTGGCTATAGCTAAATTTAACTTTTCTAACATGTCTTGAAAACCGTTCTCTAAAAAACGTAACATTCACCTGTCAACGTATCCTTGAAAATGTATGGTCAAGAAAAGTTGAACCAATAATCCTACACGCTTTTCTTCATTTGAAACATTCATATTTACAATTTTTGATTATTTTAATTTACAAAATTTGGATGTGACAGTTTCACATTTCTGAGAGCAACGATGATTGAACTTGTTCCCATGGCTAACTAAGGGAAATTGTTTAAAAATGTTAAGAATTGGCTATAAATCAGTAAGTTTTCGAAGAAAACATATTATAGCTTATATCGCTAAAAAGCTTAAAAAATGGCGCTTTTTATGAAGTCATGGCCAACTATGGTTTCCATTTAAAAAACATATGTTTGTATCATATGTCAAAAATGACAGGCTTTAGAAAAAAGCGGAGGACACAGTCTCATTAAGGATGTGATTATCTACAACTTTTATCTGAAAACGTTTTGTCTAAAATAGCTTATAATGGAATTAGGGACAATTTTTAAAATAGCCGAAATTTGTTTTTTTTTAAATATCTAGTAAGCTATGAACTTTTTAAAAAACCTGAAAGGCGCATATTTATGACCCCACAAAACTGCAATTCTTTGCCCGTTTAACCGACTCTCTATCTCCAGTAGTTTTCGAGATACCCATAGAGAACATCGTAGGAAAGTCATCCTGTATATAAAGTCATTTTTTATATAACAGATTTCAGCTAAACGAAAGTTGAGCCGCAATTTTAAATGATAAAGGAACTACAAATTTCGAAATTCGATTCATCTAACGTCGATTCTATATTTTTAGTGTGTATTTATTTGTAATTAATTATAATTACGATTACTAAAAAATACTGAAATTTAAAAAATGTTCATGGTACCCGCAGTGTTTCGAAAAAACTCTATAACAGGTGTTGTATTTCAAATTTTCATTCCAATTTTTTGGTAAAATTAAAGGGCAATAGTAGGGCACATTTTAAAAATATTTTCATAGATATACAGGATGAATCAAGTAAGTATATTTTTACGCTAAAGTTGTAGTTTTTTAAATAGAATGGTGTATTTTTTTAAAGCCCCCAGTATATTTAAAATAAAATCCCCATTCTAAATATCATCATGCTATAATTTATGCCAAGTAAGTAGTTTTTGAAATATTTAGATTAAGTTTTCTACATATTATCCTTATACCTATATGATTTTTAACTGTAAGCGTTTTTTGAGATGTACAGGGTGGGTCAAATCTGACGCTTTTAGAGGGAAACACCAACAAAACAAAACAAACAATGCTTTATTGTGCAAAAAACCAAAACAGCTTCATCGACAAAGCAATCACAAAACAAACAAAAGCACACAAAAAAAATATATACAAACAACAAATTCACAAAAATTTAAGTCATTATAATTACAAAAAGTACATACATGGACAATTGCAGAATAGTAAGCAGTAAATAGATATAATTTTAAGACTTATAAAATATTAAATACTTGACCTTTGACCAGTGTGTGAGATGATCAAAATTTTAAAATTCGAAATTGTGCATAATTAAACATCAACAAAAAAGTCGTTTACCGCATATAGGGCTCTCTCCAGTAAGTATGATTTCAGAGCTTTGCGAAATGCGGGAAAGAATGAAAGCGACTTGATATTCAAAGGCAGATGATTGTACATTTTTTAGCATTGTACAGTATTGAACATTTCTGAGCTCGGGGTTGGCGGGAACTAGTTCTGAGCTCGGGGTTGGCAGATAAAAATCGTGCTAC